ACTCAACCATTGTCTTCAACTAGTTTCCTGAAGTCATCAAGAGACTGATAGAGAATTCATCTGATTCTCATAGCATCTTGTTTTGTCTAATTACAGAGTTCATCACTGACTGTTTCCGGTATGTACCCTGAAGTAGCTCACTTGCTGTGGAACAAACTTGCTGGTTTTAATATATAGAAACCTGATTCTGGGTTCTGGTTAAAGAATATTGGGGGTCTAGTGAGAGCAAATAATTTTGCAAGTGTATAACTATGATCAGAGGGACTGTATGAATGCATGTGAACCCAGAGGACCAGCCAGGGGATGTTATGTGAGCCGACGTGGCTTCAGCTGGAGTAGAAGTGAGTGTACCTCTCTCTGACTTACTCTGCTGTTGGTGGTTCTAAAGAGTGGATTCCGGAAAATCTCAACAGCGAAGACACCTTTCCAGGTAGGCAACAAGATTACAGGTGGAATCTAATAAAGCAGGTTCCCAGGAGCCTTCAGCTTCTGCCTACTGTTTGGGAGGGTGAGCGAGTATGTAGAAAGAGAAGAAAAAGAAAACGTAAGTTTGTTCTTGTCAGAGTTTAATGTCATAGTGGTGAGAAGTGTGAGTACCCTGTCTGTGATCACCTCTTCTTTTTTTTCTTCTTTTTTGTGTGTCCCCTGTTCTTGCTTTATTATTTGAAGATGGTCTTTCTGAGAATACCTCTTTTCTGCCTCTGCCACTGCAAAATGTTAAGGCCTTTGGTTTGGGACACAGTTCTGTCATGGCAGTTACTTAATCCTGGAGACAACAAGTCTTCCACAGTGTGCCCAGATGCTTGGGAGAAACTGATCCTCGCCTTCTGAACTGTTAGATTTCATGGCGGCACATTCATTTCTCTGTCCTTGCTGTTTACTCCTGATATCAAGGGCTCTCTCTGGGCATGGGGGACAGGATGAAGATTTGCTCTGGGGTCATTGCAAAGGTCCAGTGTCTTGTAAATGGAGGAAGAAGCACACCCTTGAGCACACTGCTCAATTTTATTATTTAAATGAGAATATGGAGTTTTACCATCAAGAGGTCTTCCTTTTCCCATTGTGCATTCTTGGCACCTTTGTTGAAGATCAGTTGGCTGTGTATGCATGCATTGAATTTTGGGATCTGTATTCTATATCTCCAATACTTACGGGTGCCACCATGCTAGGACACTGCTGTCTGAATTTCTGTATCTTTTCCTCTCAGATTTGAATCTCATGAATGTGTATCTTCCAATGTTATTCTTTTTCAACATTATTATGATTGTTTGAGACATATAAGAATTCAATAAAATGTTGGGTTATCTTTTCTATTTCTGCACAGATGGATGTTACCAGTTTGATAGTAGTTGTTGTGCATCTTTGGATCATTTTGTAGTATTGTGTATTAGTCAGCTTTTGCCTTCCTGTCTGTGAATATGGGACACCTTTTCATCTATTTGTACCTTCTCTACTTCCTTTCAGTCACATTCTGTTCTTACCAGGTTATGAGTATTTCATCTCATTGATTAGATTCTAAGTATCTAATGATTTCAGAGGTTTATGATCCATGGAATTACATTTGTAATTTTGCTATTGGATTGTTGATATTGAGTGCATATTAACACAACTGCAGTTTGAGTGTTAATCTTGTATTCTGCAATTTTGATGAATTTATTAGCATGAATAGCATTCTTGTAGACTGTCTCCGATTTTCCATATGCAGAATGTGAAAGAAGTTCTCAGCTTCATACCTCTCCTCAGGCATATTGTGACTGTGAAAGTCTATTCATATTCACCTACTGAATGGTGTCCTTCCAATTGGTGCAGTAAGGTTGTTCAGGAAATATTTTGCCTACTTATTCCATCATTTATAGTTTTAATTCTTTGTTCATGCTATTGTATGTTTATTATTTTTCCATAGAGTAAAATGCAGTATTTCTGATTAGATTCTGCATACCTGACTTCCCTCTTCTTGTTGACTGAAAGCATATAGGGATGTCTCTTGTGCTTCTTTCTTTCCACCATCAGTTATCTTTTAAACTCTAGACTTCAGAAAGTGAATCTGGAATGTGGAAATGTGAGGGAAAACGCACAAGAAAGAAACCTAATATTGCTATTCCCATGGCTTCCCTCCTTTCATCAGCCTAAATGTATATTTATTTCACAGTATTTGAGAGCGTGTTACTTCTACTCATATCACAAGTTTTCCGAAATACATACTGATAATATCTGTGTCTAGGCCAGTTTACCTACCAAAACACAGTTTTAAACTTACTTTTGTGGATTATTCAAAATTCCCTATGTACAGAGATATGAATAATATGCTTTCACCCAACCTGTTACCCTCCTCAGAAGGAAGGAAGGCACAAATCAGGTCCCTTGTGACACTATCCAGAGCACTTTACCAAGGCTAAGCCACGGTCATCTCTATAACTTGGCAACAGCCTCAGTTTGAGCCACTTTACATTTAAGAGAAAGAAATCATACAGGATATGATATCACATACTTGGAACCTCCCAATAAGGTAGATAATTCTCCTCCCCAAGTAAATGTTCATTCCATTTGACGAGGTCTCCGTTGATTTTTCTTTTTTTTTTTTTTTAAAGAAAAGAGGTTTATTTTGGTTCACAGTTCTGTGGGCTTTATAAGAAGCCTAATGCTGGCATCTGCTTCTAGTGAGGGCCTTAGGAAGTTTACAATCAAGGTAGAAGGTGAAGGGGGAGCAGGTATGTCACATGATGAGGATGCCATGCTTTTTTAAACAACCAGTTCTTGCATGAACTAATGGAGTGAGAATTCACTCATTACCATGGGGAAGGCACCAAGCCATTCATTCACCCTGGTGACCCAAACATCTCTCACCAGGCTTCATCTCACATTTCAATATGAGATTTGGAGGAGACAAACATCCAAACCCTATTAGCGACACAGTGTCCCAGCGATGCCACACTGCACAGATTCACAGCTGGAGAAGCCTCTGCTCAGCACGGATGGGCAAATAGTCATTTCAACTTAACTCTAACCTTGAGACAAAAATGCTTTTGGTGACATCCGATTCCACACAGTAGCTACATCTGAAAAAAAGAAAATTTAAGTGCATGCTGTCTACAAAATGAGTCAGTGACCTGATGAAAAATCAATGGCAGAGCCACTGTACTCCACCCTGGGTGACTCTGCCGTTGATTTTTCATCAGGTCACTGACTCATTGTGTAGACAGCATGCACTTAAATTTTCTTTTTTTCAGATGTAGCTACTGTGTGGAATCGGATGTCACCAAAAGCATTTTTGATACTCATATTTCATTCTGTTGTCTCAAGGTTAGAGTTAAGTTGAAATGACTATTTTTGGACAGAACAGTTGTGCATTATGGCATCACCCCTGACTTGGGACCTTATCTGTTGGGTATGCATGCAGGTCTGGAATGTGTTAAGCTTTGAGATATCAAGCAAGTCAGTTCTTTTTTAATTTACCATTCTGAAGATCTACAATACACAGTTTATTTTAATAAACCCATTCACTCCTCGCTACAGGCTCACCTAAACAGTGATTGTTTACTATCCACACACTCCTTGGATGGAGAAACCGAAGGGCTAATGAATGTGCCCATGCTTTTAAGCCCCTAAAGGAAGGAGGCAAGATATGAACCTAGGGTTATAGCTCTAAAGCTGAATTGATAATGAATTGTTGAACTGCAGTCATTACCCTGAGGAGAACGGCTCTCAACCCTACCATCGTGGGTAACTGTAAGTTGGTTCCCTCACATATGAGTCTACAGAGATCCCAAACACTGCCTATGATTCCAAGATGGCTGCAGCAGTCACGTGGCTTAGGGCAGACAACAATGAATGTAACTGCAGGATACGGCATGGCCATTGGTGTGAATACTACGGAGCTGCCTTAGATACCTCTGACAACAGGGTCAAGTGCAAGTTCTGAATATTAGGAAGCGGTACTTAGAAATATTGAGAAACTCCTTTCAGTGCTGGAGACATTCCTCAGCAGTATATTTTTGAGATAGCTGAAAACTCTTATCACCACAAGACCTAGAAATGATCAAATTCTGCAAACTACATTCATTAGACACAATGACAAGACAGAAAAGAAGCACAGGTATCCTCCATAGGCAATTACTGCACCTCCATGACAAAGGAAAGGTGGACTGAAGAAGGAACTATTCGTGTGATTAACACCAGTTGTTTTATAGAATATAATTTCAATGTTTCCAATTCTTCCATCATTGACTATAACAAAAGTTCAGTACGTAACTAAAATAGACTGGTTTGCCTAGAATTGAATCCATCTGTCTGATCAACTTAGCTTTTATTCAAGGATTGAAAATTCTAAAAAACAGAACTGTAGCGACAGCCATTTATGTGACAGCCATTTCCCTTCATGTGAATCCATAAATGGAAAAATGTTCTTGGGACATAAATCACATAAACATATATTGTTATTTCTGTTTGACACAATAAATCCCTAGTGTCCTCTTCCTATGATTACACATTGCAAACAAAAAGATTATCTAAAACCAGTCTCAATCAACTTAGAAGTTTAATTTGCCAAGGTTAAGGACATGCTAGTGACACAGCCCCAGGAGGTCTTGAGTACACATATCCAAGGTGATCGGGCTACAGTTTGGTTTTTACATGTTTTAGGGAGACATAAGACATCAATTAATGCATGCAAGATGTCAATTTCTTCCGTTGAGAAAGATGGGACAACAGAAAGTGGGAGAAGGTTGGGGCTCCAGGTCATAAGGAAGATTTCAAGATTTTTTAATCGTCAATTGGTTGAGTTTAAAAACCTGGAATCAATAGAAGAAAGTGGGTTCAGATAAGGGGCTGGGTAGACCCAGGTTTTTATTATGCATCTTTAAAACTGATGCTAAATGTAGCACCAGCATGATTGGGTCCTAGAGTACTGACGTAGTCTTGAATATGCTGTTTGTTTAAAAGAGCTTCAAAACGTGTGAGAGGCATTGAACCTTAGTGTGCATTTGAGTTTCCCTTTTTGGTTGACTCTTCTGTGTTGCTGCATGATGCCTCTAGTATGAGGCGGAGACCTCCATGTCTCGTCTCTTTCCCGCTGCCCTCCCTCACCAGCCCTCTTCCACCCAGGGGGACAGCCCAGCAGCAACTCAGTCCGTGCTTGATAATCACCCACCTCCATACCCCACATCCAGCAAAGCTCCCTGAGTAACTCACAGCCACCAACCACCAGGGTACTGAGCTTTCCTCTGTGTACTTCCAGTATCTTCAGATGACCAGGCCAGCATGGTCGGACTCAGACCCTGGACAGAGGAAGAAGATCTGGAGGAGGAAAACCTCTATGTAAGACTCCTTTTCTTTGTCTTCTAAAGAAATTTTGCTTTTGTGATTTCTTCTCAATTAATCTGGATATGAAAATCTGAAAGTGTACATTTTGTACAGCATATGCAATTCTCTTTGTGGGGGTGAAATTCAGCCAACTAACACACAATACACTGGGAGGTTTTCAAATGACAGCATCCATTATCAGCTGTAATGCAGAGGCACTTTCCTCAACACGTTTTCCTCCTTGGATTAAGCATTGTGTATTTGCCCATTAAATCAACTTTAAAGGTGAATTCTGTGAATACAGACCTTATTTTTCCATAAGCATCCTCATGGTTTTGAGGATGTTGACCAATGGCTCAGCCGCTGTGCCACTTCTTGTTTTCTACCCTTGCCAAGGGAATAACAGATCTATGTGAGGTGCACCACAGAGTCTCAGCCTCATGTTTTCTTTTGTATAATTGCAGAGCACAATCCAGCAAAGGATGAAAAGTAAGTACCATGAAGCAACTCACATCATGAGGGACCAACTTGCCACTTGAGTGTTTAGAAACCTGATTCTGGGATCCTGCTGGGAAGGAGGATTGGGGGTCTCCTGAGAGGAAGTGATTTGGCCAATACAGAACTCCAGCCAGAGAGGCTATCAACTCAACAAAGACCAGGGAATGATGTGTGAGGCCACATGGCTTTAGCTGCTGGAAGAGGAGTGGGTGAGTCACTCTTTCTAATGATTGGTCCTGATGTTATTTTTTCTAAAGACTGGCTTCTGTGGAGCATCTTCAAAGTCATCAAAGACATACCCCTAGGTAGGAAACTACTTTCCAGGTAGGACCTAATGGGAAAGAGTTCCTAAGAGTCTTTGCCTTCAGGTTATCCCTGCTGTTTGAGGGGCTGATGCAGGGGGTATGAAATCAGAAAGAAAATGAAAATGTGTGTGAGGTTTGGTTTGCTCTTTTCAAAGTTTGTCATCATAAAGGTAGGAACTGTGTCTCTGGGCTGAGAGGGTGCTGGTGTTCATTAGAGATAATCTCTGCAGTACGCCTGCTCTTTTCTGCCCAGTGAAACATCAAAACCTTTGGCTTGGATTAATCAGCACTCCTTGGGATTATGTACAAGGGATGTAGGGCTGGGCATCTGTAAGGAAAGGAAGGAATCTGTGGGAGCATTTTTCTCACAGACATTTACTTGAACTTAGAAAAAAACTCTGCTGTGTGCTAAGGGGAAATTGATAATCACCCTCTAAACTTTTAAGACTTGTTATAGCACGTTTATATTTCTGTCCTCTCTGTGGGTTTAAAGGGATCTCCCAGGGGTGAATGGCAGAGTGAATGTTCACTCTGGGCTTGCTAGTAGGTCTCCAGTCTCCTGGCAAGGCAGAGAAGGAGTCTGACTTGAGCACATTTGTAGCCTCCACTTCCCACCCCTACCGCAGATTCTGAGATGAGGCTTCTTTCTCTCAAGTTCTGTAATTTTTGGGGAAACTAAGAGTTCCTTCCCACAGAAGATGGCATTACACTATTTCCTGTCTTCAAAAATTAGGCTTTCGTTGTTCTCTAATATCTCTGATATTTATAAGTTAAGTTCTGGACCTATTATTCACAGATTGCTAAAAGGTGTGCAGATAAAATGTGCTGATAGCATATAATTCTGTCCATGCTGTGCTATGGATGACATTTTTATCTCTGGAGGATCCTCATTTTACATAATAAGATGCAAAACTAAGTGCGCACCCTTGATCCAGTCTGGGGCACTTCATTAAAGAACTGAGTTTGCTGCTGTCTGTCATTTGCTTTTCTTCATGAGACCTTTGAACCACCTAAATATTGCCAGCACCCTCTTTTGGGACCCCGACATCTGAGAGGGTGAGATGGCACAAGTGCAGACATCCCTGGTTCCTCCCTGAAATTTCCCTCCTCCTTTATTCATCTTCTTCCTTAAGGGACCTGCTCTGACTGCTAATGACCTGTTTAGACCTCTCCAGGTTTGGACTGTCATACATAGAATAAGTCAATATGTGATTCTCGGTGTCTGGCTTTTTCACTCACATTATGATTTGAAATTCATTCACGTTCGTAAGTGTAACCGGCTTTGGAATAATACTGGCACTAGATTGTTAGAAGGGAACATATCTTTTATTGCCATGAATAGTGCCAAATATTTTTCAAAATGGTGTCACTAATTCATGCTCCTGTGGCAGCATATGTGAGGAGACATTTCTCCAAATCCTTGTGCACTTTTAGTTTTATCTCTCCCTGAAACTTCTATCACTGTGGTTAGTCTTTCAATTGTATAGCATCTTACTTAAAATTTTTAACAAAAAATTTTCTTTTAATCTAATGATGCAGGCCAGTAGGTTTGTGTACGCCCATCTGACCCCAGCCATGTAAGTAATCATTGATCAAAATGTCACTATGCCACATGACTGTACTTGATAACAGCTGCTTAAGTTATTAAAATGTAAAGGATAAGTGATACACATTTGAGTCTTGGATACTATGTGGTCACTTTTCTATGTTGCCTCTTTGAAGCATCACAATCACTTTGAGGCATAGTTTGGTTCTATTCATTATACAGATGAGGAATGTGAATCTTCACGGGACACACCCACAGCTGGACCTCTCTAACACCAAAGGCTAATCTATAAACTAACATGCTGCACTGCCTGTAGTGGCAAAGTAGACTTGCCATAAAGTGAAGTTTGCTTCCACAGCTGGGCGTGTGAGCTTAGCGGGGTTGCTGTGACCCATGCTTTATGGGTTTGAGATTGGTGTTGCAGAAACCCAGATGGAGAAGCTCTTGGCTGAGGGAGTGAAAAATTACTGAAAGGATAGATGAGTGCGTTTGAAGGATCATGCTTCCATAGAGCATGTTGTTGAGCCTCTTGGAATCAAAACAGATACAAACAGAATCACCCAGTCCTCAGTTGTACCATTCAGTAAGCATCAGCACGCCATGAAGTGTGCTCACTGCTGTGTTGTGGGGACATAAAATCTATCCCAGGCTTCTGTGGCCTCCCATTCTCTCCCGTCCAATGAACCTCTTTTCTGTTCCATTGGTCTACATCTCTGTTTCGGTACCAGTTTGATTACTGTAGCAGCTGACTAAGTTTGTGATCAGGATTTCAGTATTCATTGAGAGAAACAGAACCTTTTGCAAACAATCCACAGCACGACGTGCCCCTCATAAAGCTTTGTTTCTGTGTTGCAGGTAGTGCCGGTGTTTTATCTGAAGTGTGACTCTGGTAAGTATTCTGGAATTATTGTCAAGAAAAAAGCTGGTTTCAATGTGCAGTGCCACGCTGATTCTGGGATTGTGATAGGAATAAGCATAGTGAAAGTGTTTTTTAGAAACCTGAGTTCCCCGGGGAAAAATCATGGCCAAATTTTGAGGCAGCATCTGTGCTCCCTTTTGGCTGGTACTGAGTTGGGTGCTCGGGGTTTGGTGGTGTCTTGTGTGAGGCTGCATCATGTGATGTGAACGTGTGTGCTTCTGTGCAGGTGAGGCTGTGTGTTTTCTCAGGAGAGATTTTCCCATTTACACAGCCCATTCTCCAGTGTCTACTTTTAACCCACTCTACTCTGTCTGTACAGTGACTCCTCCACCCTCACCAGAGCCATCCCTGGGTCTGGTTTATTATCCTCACAGCTCAGGTGGAGAACCTGAAGGGCCAGGGGGTGGCCCCAGCTCCTGAGTTCCTGAATGAAAAAGAGAAAACACAAACCCAGGAGTCTGGGCCAGTGCTGACACTGGCAACTACTGGCATGCTCTCAGTCATGGGGTGTTCGCCACCGTGCAGGGAGTCCAGCATTCGTGTTTAAGCCCTAAGGAATTCCCAGACACTGCCCATCGTTATAAAGTGGCCTCCATGGTCACACAACTCAGGGCAGTTACAGGTACATCTCCCCACAGATCAGCGTAGTCATCAGTGTGAAAAGCACAAAGATGTTTGGGTTGGCTCACAGGTCCTTTTTTGTTTAATTTTTAAGTTCAGGGGAACCTGTGCGGGATGAGCAGGTTTGGTACATGCATAAACGTGTGTCATATCATCCACGTATTCAGCTTAATATCAGTTATTTTCCTGATCTTCCCCCTCCTCCCACCGTCCACCCTCCAGCAGGCCCCAAGCTCACAAATTCTAAGAGGAGTGGGGGACCGCACAGGCCAGTGCGGCCCACTTCAGGTGTGAAGTTAATTTGCTCAGCAGCTGGCCAAAGCACATAAGGATCCGTGATGATTTTTAGTAGATGTAGTAATATCTTCCCAAGCCCTAAAATGCTCAAACCTGGCCAGCTGAAAATGGTGAGGGAGAGGGACAGGTAGGAACTCTGTGCAGCACTTGGTTTGTAGCCTGGTTTCCATCCCCTCATGGCAACTCTCTTGTGTATGCGGGTTAAAGGCCCTCAGCCTCAACCCAAGCCTCCTCCATGAGGAGACTCCCACTATTGGCCGGCTACTGCAGCATATGGACACCAGCCAAAGTGAAACAAAACGTTGCTTTAAAACAAGTTATGTATTCATAATCTCTGCTCTCTCTGTGGTTATGTCTTCCTATTAATTTCTGATATTAATTTTGTGATTTCCCTTTTTTCTTGATAAATCTCACTAATGACTTGTGTACTAGACTTTTCTTGAAAACAACTGTTGGCTTTCATCCATGGCTGGGGCATCATCCACAGCTGAATCATCATCCATGGCTGGGGCATCAGGGACATCATTCACAGATAGGCATCATCCACTGCTGGGGCATCATCCACTGCTGGGGCATCATCCACACCTGGGGCATCATCCACTGCTGGGGCATCATCCACTGGTAGGACATCATCCACGCCTGGGGCATCATTCACTGATGGGGTATCATCCATGCCTGGGGCATCATCCACTGCTGGGGCATCATCCATGCCTCTGGTAGCTCTGCAGGAAGGTTGCCAACTCACCATTGCTTTCTCCAGGTTCCAGAGGCTTCCATTTAAAGGAGCGACTCTCCCAACTCTACTGGAATGTACTGGAAAAAAGCCATCTCTTACTTGGCACTAGAATATCAAGTCATTCATGTTTTTAACAGAACTTTGAGATATAATTCTAATGTTTTTTATATGAACATATATGTATGTGTATATATACAACTATATACATATGTGTATGTATATATATGCACAGTTGTATATACATGCACATACACATGTATACAGTTATGTATATAGTTTATGTGTGTGTATATATATACACATATGCATATATGTATAGTTTTAGGACACAAAAATACTGATCTTGAGAAGAAAGCATTAGTCTACATAAATATTGAAACTATCTGGCATAGCAAAAGTCCCCTTTAAGAATATGACTTACAAAGCGCAGAGTGACAGAAAATGCTCACAGCGTGTACATGTAAAGAATGTGTCATGTTGGCCCCAGCTGCCAACGTTGCCAGTGTTGCTGTTGTCCTTGGTGCAGACAGCTGTGGCATTGAACCTTCGGATGCTGAGGGTGGCTGAGTTGGCCCTACCCACAGACCCTAAATTGGACAGAGGGGAGGGACTGTGGGTCAGAATCAGCATAGTGAGGAGGGAGGGTGCATGGAGCAGAGCCGACTGTGGATCCGTGTCCCTAGGTGAGGTGCCCCCTCCTCTGTGCAGTGAGGGAGGAGGGTAAAGACAGAAGCCCTGGGGATGGTTCAGATACCACTGTGCTTCCTGACACTCTTGCTGTGGAGCCTCAGCTTTCCGAAGCCACCTTACATCTCCCAAAACCTTCATGGGAGCAGAGCCACTGCATTTAAGTAAGAGCTGCGTCTTCCTGGGCCCCTCTGTTCTGAGTTCTCACAGCTGACCTGGTGGGCTGAAGGTGTGTCCTAGCAGTTAGTGTTGCCACCCAAATCTACCCAGTTGGCTCCCTGATGACCAAACTCCCACGGAGGCTCGGAGTCATTTTCCAGCAGAAAGAGGCCATCTCAGGAGTGTCCCTCACTGTCCCATACTGCCCTATTGGCACACCAGGGAATCTCAGGTGGAGAGCCTTGGCTGTCCTGATCCTTCTTTCTGAAGCTGCTCACGATGTCAGAGAGGGGCTAGGGCAGCCGGGAATCCTAAATAAAGAAGACGTGGGTTGAAGGGAGGTCACTAGTTCCTGCCAGCTGTGCCAGCAGAGCATGTGTGGCACTATCTGTCAGTATTTCCGGGGACCCGGAAGCACAGAGTTTATTCACACTATTAAAACTCTCAGCATCAGCCACCTAAAGGCCTCTCTTTCATGTATTTTATAACCATTTCAACTCATGTTTTCCTCCATCTCTGAATCACCAACTCAAGTGTAAATCATGTGGTTCCACTTCGACTTCCAAATCATCTCTACACATACTTAAACAATTCATAGTGTGTTTCTATTTCTTAAGCAAATAAGTTTTCCTCTTTAGACCTCATCTGGTTTATTTTTTATTTTTTCTGAGATTTAAACTCAGACTTAAACATTTAATTTCATCCATATCATATGAACCATTTCCATCCCTTCCAACAGGTCAGCATTGCGTAAGCTACACTTTACTTATAAACCCTTGTGCTGAGCACCCAGGTTTGCTGCCAATAACACGTGACCAGTGAGGACTTTCTTCTGCTCATTTCCCTCCATCTCTGAACCACAGTGGACTAGCCGCATGGAGGGTGCACACTTAATGTTACTATGTGCTGAGGGACGTCCTGCCGGATGGCTGACCTTATAAATATCCCAGTTGTGGGTAAGAGCTTCTGAAGCTCCACAGCCTGACTGGAAATTTGTTTTATTTTTATTTTTTAAATTGCCACGTTAGTTGTCTGCTCAACACTGACTGGTTTCATGCCTCACTCAGAAGTAACTGCACAATTCTAGAGCATCCACAGGAACCTATAGGTTTTGCCTGCTCCTGACCCTGGCTGTCTGATCTCCAAGCCCTCTCCCTGGCTTCCTGCTGAGGGGGCTCTGGCAGCTCCTGCCACTCCCACTTTGCCCTCCCCACCCAAGCCCTTTTGCCTTGCTCTCTGCTGTTCCAGGCAGCTCCTCCCACACAGACGTGCTGGGTTCCACAGGGGTTTCTTTCACCTCAGGTGGATCAGAACGTGTTCATTTGACTTTTATTCATCCACATTTTGCCTTCTCTAAATTGCTTTGTTGTGATATTTGTTTACATTTAGTGACATTTTTATTTTATCTGTATTTTCTATTTTTTTTTTCTGAAATCTGGATTGTCCTTGCTAATATCTTTCCATTATTTCATATCCCTCTGCAATTTGGCCTATTGGATCCTTCTTCTTACAAAGCACCTTACATAGCCATTCAGGAGCTCATAAGGTTATGTGCCTTATCAGAATCCTAGAAACCTCAGCGAGTTCAGCACATGAAAATGCACTCAATCCCAAGTCATTAGCAGAGTACACATTGAAACTAGTTTCTCACTCTTACACCCACCAGAATAGGCATGCTATCAGAGAGGAGGAACTTGAACTGTCATGTTACTCTGGGAACATACTTAGTTTCAACCATTTTGATAAATGGCTTTCTAGTGTGTACCATAGTAATCAGCACCTGTGACCCCTCAGTCCCACTCCCACCACCTATGTTCAAGAGACATGAGCCAAGGATGTTGTCCACCTGGGGAACTTTACAGAAGCCTTGATTCAAGCAACCATCATGAGAAACAGCAGAGTGAATGTAAAAAACACAGAGGTGTGAACTAATTGTGCCAACTTTCTACAATGTTATATACTGACTCAGCAGTACAAAATGACAGATGTTTCATCACGTGGAACATGGATGAAATTCACATATTCACATATAATTTTCAATCAGAAACAAAAGAGTACATGCTGTAGGTTTGCATTTGTATGATGTTTAAAAATAAATTTAAAATACATTGATCATGATCAGAGTAGGTATATCCTGGGGTTACTGCCTGGAAATTAGCTGAAGAGGGACTGCCAGGAGATTTACTGGGTGCTGGTAACAGTGTTTGTAAGAAGGCAGCAGTCTGTGCATGTCATATATGTGCACTGTGCCACAGAAAACAGCCATCACCTTGCAAAACGAATGCAAATCATCTTTCCATCGTGCAAACGTCCATCCTTATTGTCTCCCTGGGAGTCTATATTTTAAATAGAAGTGACTTCAATTTTGTATGTACAAGAACATGCTCACACTGCTCTCTTTTAACTGGGAACATCATGATAGCAAATTCTGTAAAAGACATGACAAGAAAGGTGAATTAAAAGTCAAATGCTTTCGAATACTGTTGCCAAAATCCAACACAATATGTTAGCAATCTTGATTCCGAGGTTTGTTTTTTAAATTTTTCTTTGAGTTTGGGATACATGTGCAGAATGTGCAGGTTAGTTACACAGGTATACATGGGCCATGGTGGTTTGCTGCACCTATCAACCTGTCATCTAGATTTTAAGCCCAACATGCTCCCCTTGCCCCCTACCCCGACAAGCCCCAGTGTGTGGTGTTCCCCTCCCATTGCCCATGTGTTCTTACTGTTCAACTCCCACTTATGAGTGAGAACATGCGGTGTTCGGTTTTCTGTTCCTGTGTTAGTTTGCTGAGGATGATAGCTTCCAGCTCTATGTCCCTGAAAAAAACAAGAACTCACTCTTTTTTATGGATGCACAGTAATCCATGGTGTATGTGTGCCACATTTTGGTTTTGTAAAGGAAAGACTGGGGTTTTGATATGGATATAACTGTGGTGGGATGAGAACAGGATCCCTACTGTTTAGTGTCCTTCTGGGGAGAGAAGCAAGAAGAGACAAAGCCGTCGGGTTATAGGAACGGACATTTGGTTAGAAATAGGACGTGGGTGGTCCTCAGGGACAGCCCTGGGGTGGGGTCTCCAGGCTTTCGCTGTGGAGGGTTCCCTCTAAGAAGAGAAGGGACTCTGTGCATTGAATAGGAGCCTGAAAATGCTGACCTTTGGTTTGGAAGAAATTGACAGGAAGAAAGGTCCACTCTGTGCTGTGCAGTCACTGCCTATCCTCAGCCAGGCCTTAGTCCAGCTGCACAGACAGTGGCTCAGATCAATAGTAAGTCAGGCGGGAAGCTTTATAAACTGAGTTCATCAAGCCACTGACACTCCAGCCTAGGCGCCTCTTATCAGATAAGCTCATTAGCTGCTCACCCAGGGTTGGCCAAGTGGAGGGAAGTGAAGTGGTCATGTGACAGTTTAGAGTGTTGCTTTCTAAAACAGTTGGGTGTTACAAAGCCTAATACAGTTAGGGGTCAGTTGGCTGCAGGGGTCCCTTGTAGCCAACTGATCGTTGAAAACGTGTAGCCCGTGGCAGCTGACTGTGATGCTGGTATGAAAGGATTGCCCTGTTTTGAATCACCCTCATCTTTCAAAAGGCATCATTTGAGATAAACCACATCCTGTTAGGGAGAGACAGAGGCCGGGTCTTGTGTCCAAGCTGTTATCTAGGCTCAGGCATCTATTCCAGGACATCAGCCCTCCCACGGAAACCTTGGGTCAGGACATCGTGAGAGTCAGGGGAGTTCATGTTTTGCGGGGGTCTTAGAGCATGATCTGGAGGTCTAAAGTGTGCAGACATCTCTGGCCCCGAGGCCTAAGGTATGCTTCTGCCCCAGGTGCATCACACAGCAGTGTGGTGACTGGAAAGACACATGCCTTTAAGAGAATTTCTTCCAACTATGAAGTGCAGGCCACAGCTCCTGTTGTGCCCACCCTCAGGGCTGACATGGGCATCACAGGAGATGATCACATGTACTGTTTGTGCACTGTAAAGCCTCCCACACAGGCAAATGAAGAAAAGCCAACCTCCACCCTCCCCTGCCCTGGAGCATCCATGTCCCCTCTCTGGTCACCCACTGTCAAGTGTGTAGCTTCTTCTCCCAGGCATTTAATGAATGGAGCATTGAAGGATCAGCCACGTTTTCTAAAGCTTTAACTCTTCGGTGATCTTCGGCCTCATCATGCTAACCAGTCAGCCGTATTAAAGTGTTTAGATGGCAGTGCAGAGAAC